ACTACTGCTGCATTTTCATTCAAACATTACAGGAATGATCATTACCACGTTACGTTGTGCATATCCTGGGCATTTTTCCGGTTAAATGATTTTTGTCAGAGTTATGACCCTTTAATGTTTTATTTGATTTTTTAAGTTTGTGTGGACTGCTTCTCTTATACCACTAATTCAATTTGAATGAAACTTTACAGAATTGACTCGAGTACTTCCACATATTACAAAGGTTTTCCGGATTAATGATTTTTGGCTGAGCTATGATGGCCCTCGAATAAAAAAACATGTTGCTGATAATATTAAAACAGATCCGAGCAAGTTGACAGATATGATATTGGTCTCGTGACAACTAGATTATGATCAATGACTATTTATCCGAATGTAACAATAGTTTTAAGTCTTTTTATTGTACTCAAGGTTCTTCTTCATAATTTTAAATCTTGAACCATTATCTATTTTGATAATACTGAATGAAGAAAAAAAATGATAGAATAGATTATCAATTCAATTAGATTTTAAGAAAGATAAACTCAGACATTGATGTTGTAATAGTTAAACTCGTATAATATATTACGTATTTACCAGATATTATTTGATCGTCGAAATTGTTTTTGTAAATATTTGGTAAATAGGGTATAAATATCAGGACTATAAAACAAATTGAAATTTACTATAAATCAGACATTAGACACAAATAAATATCTTGAAGTTTCCCCTTAGTTTTAAATCCCATTATTGTTATACGATGAAAATTGCGTTGGATACTTATAAAATCAAAGAAAACTTGCCAAGGAAATCACATAAACACAATATGTTTGAACTACTAAAATTCGGCTGATATCAAACCCCCATTAGGCTCGATGACATCATTCTACTATATGATGGCTACATGCTGGAATAATCTTAGCTTTACGTATCCATGCTGCCTTACGAAGAAAGTCGTGGAGCTTATTGCAATGTATACAAGTGGCGAAATATAGCACCGCTGACCATACTAAGAAAAGAGAATATCATGCACAATACGAGTTGACAAACAAAAATATTTTTCGAGTTACAAGACTGACACGAGTTCCAAATGACTATAAGCTTTTATTCTTATCTTACCACAGTAGGGAGCATACAATGTACCATACATAAAGTTTGGACCAGCTAATGAATCTACAAGTTCGCCCTGTTTTATGAAGCATTTCAGGTTATTGTCTTAACCTTTTCACAATTCAGTGTAACTACCTATGTTTGATGTACATCTGAACTGAAAGTGTAAGTTTGTTCGCTGTTGTTTTTTAGGTAACTTTGATTAAAAAATTGCTTAATCAGTAAATATAGTTGTCGGACACTGTTCTGATTAAAAGAAGTCCGAGCCAGATAACCATCATGTTACCGCCACCTCATCAATACAGGTCAACGTTTTTAGACTCTGGAAGCTGCCGTAATATTGCCATTATAATGCTTTTTTCTATATTGTTCATGTTTAATTTTAATAATTATTTCTATGTTTTCTTCGTTAAGAAATACACCCCGACACTAAATAAAATTGTACAAAGATGAATAACTCTTCCTGAATTTGTGTAATTATACCCTTATTCTTAATCTCCCTTCTGCATCTCTTGTTTATGATGGAAGGAGTTTCTGTTATGCTGTCATGATAGTTTTATTACACTAAACTTACTGCTTCCCCTAATATAATCAATTGTTTTGACATGTAAACACGTGTAAAAGTGCATATACAAGCCAGTATTTGTACTCGGATGGTTATCTGCTTCAAGCTGCTGTTTACTCCAGTGTATATAATATCTATAAAAGATATTTAGCAGACATGCCATGTGGATGTTAATGAAAGGTGCAACAAGCACTTTCTTCACGTAGCTGAAGTGGTTACAAACCGCAAGGCGAATGCGGAGTGGTGTGAAAAGACGTCAGGACCAGAATAACGAGGAAAGATAACACCTATAACTGACGCTGCGTGTTGATGTACTGGTGCCATTTAATGAAAACTGTTTTCCAAATGGTCGGTTTCATATTTTAGTACGCTTTACCCGTGTAAGACTCGATATCAAACCCTGTGGTGAGTAAGACAGAAACTGAACTTATGGCTAAACTTAGCTAGTAATATTTTTTTAATCAAATATACGCAGAAAATATTATAGAACAAATACTGTTAATATTTACGTATCACTTGAAGTTACGTAAAGTTTGTTGACTTCTTGAAATGTTTATATAAATTCAAAACTTATGCTCTTCTATTAGTAAATAAAATATGTAATATAATTACAATACCGTGTTGCTGTTCATCGTCTTCTTGTGAAGTATCTATATGTTTAAAAGTTAAATAATTTACTAATTTATTAATGCCGAAATGTCTTAAGAAATTTAAAGGAATTTTTGATGTTGGTTTTCTAGTTTCTAAAAGAGAAAGAATGCTGGATCTGCTTTGCACGTACTTTTGTTAATTCTTTTCACGCACCTTAAGTCGCAACTAGGGTGTCGCGTGAGTTCTAGTCAATCCGATTACAGATAAAGTTTTTTTTCCACGGGAGATGTACGTCTAATTGGCCAATCGCATGCACCGTTACAATAGCCTGGTAGTAAAAGCACAACGGGAAACATGGAGTTGCTCTCCAAAGAAAGTAGACCCAAATGTTGGCGATAGAAAACATATTTCAACGTCAAATTGATAAGCGCCCCTACGTCATGATGAATTAGTGTTGTGCAATCTTGGTTTTAGCAGGATAGTAACTGTCATGTTATAACCATTCTTGCGGCCGTTCTTGTGCGCCGCTAAGGAAAATAGTTTGTTTGGGTCAAAAATTTAAGTAGCTATGATTATTTGGCCTGCAATTACATGCAATGGTGATATCTGGATATATTTCAACGTTTTGCTACATGTATAAATATTATTTTCGTTATTACTGACTCGAGTGATTTGGTAATCACCAATTAGTTTCATATTTAAGTTGAATTGTCGTGGGTTTTCACGACTTCCGGGTTTGAGCTTAAGAAAATCATAAAGCCATCATAGAAAGTGGTTTAAGGTTATCTGGAGATAATTCAAGTTTTAATTTGCATGATTTACGTATATGCCAAATCCCGAAATTTTCTCAACCATAAACCCTAGTTCTCAAGGAAATTGATATGTTTATGTGATGAGGCTTTTAAAGATAATTAAACTGGAAGAAAATATTAAGGCATTTAAATACAAGCTTCAAGATTCTACCCTTTTGAATTGCGTTTATCAATGATAAGGTAAACCAAGTTTGAAGTTAATACATTTGCTAATTTCTGAGAAAATATGACCTAAACGCAACTTATAACAGACGCCAATGCAACAGTAGATTTTTTACTCCGTTGAACATCATGGGTCTTTTTTTTAACAGATTTGATAATTGTTCAACGTTTGAAATTGACCCCCGTTGGAAGCTGATCAACTATCGACAGGTAATATTTGAGAATAGATAAGTAATATTGCGAGATATACCTATGATCATTCAGATGAAACTGTACAGTAATATTTCTTTCAGATTTTTATTTTATTCAAGAGGACCACGACCTAATGCTACTTATTTAGTGATTGCATGTCGAATAGTGTATGCTTAGGGTTTTCAGCTATCACGTCGCCTCCTAGAATTAAAGTAACTTAAAGTCTTCTACTGGTATAACAATTCAAAATATACCACACTAGTTAAACTTAGAAATTGTATTAAGTCCGCCGTACCGAATCAATTGTTGTTAAGGGAAGTAACCGTTACGAATATTTTGTAGTCTCACTACAACGGCTGCCCTCCCAGATCAGTACTTAAAAGTTAGAGTAGCAAGATGAGTCGGTGATGTAGATGTAAAAGGTTTGTTATAATATTGTCTGGTATAAGATAGGATACCCTATAAGGATACAATATACGTAATTTGACACATGCTTTCTGTACAGGCTGCCTAAACATTTATATGTGCTTATATAGTCAATGTTGAATATGATTAACTCTACTTTTATTTCCTAAAGCATACCTTGAGTTTGTAATGCGGCAATGCAAAACTGTCAGTTTTAAAAGGCGGAGAAGATAGAAATAAAGAATAAAGATTTTTGACATGTTTTACGGCTCTTTATAAACGATTGTTTGTAAATATAAGGGCTCGGGTTATATTAAAAATAACCGTTTATGTACGACTATATAACCTGTCCAAAAAAGCTTTATAACGAATTTATGACACGGCAAACTTCCTTTTTTGTGAAAAAAAAAGAAAGAAATTACTCCATAAAATAACTGCAGCCGTGTATAAAAAATTATTGTATATAGACTGTATTATTATTTGGCAATATTGACCTGAGACTCATTAATTTTCATGAGTTTTTTTCACAAGTTTCCGTAATTAATAATGATTTACGGTAAGGATTTTAAGAATAGTAAAGATCTCAATAAATACAACTCTATGGCCTAGTGGTAAGAACGACGGAATTGTAAGCACGTGGTTGCAAGTTCAAATCCGTATGGTGTACTTCGGGATTCGAAAATTACCGACAAAAGGTCATTGAATTTTCAAATGTCTCAGGTCAATATTGACAAACAAGAAAGACAAGGCCTTGTTATGCTTATGAAATCATTTCAGAACGCCTACAGGTGCGAAAATTCTTTTTCTTTCAAACAATCTCTCTGCTACAAACAGACGTTTAACTAATACGAAATACTGTTTCAAAGTTAAATGTATTGCTAAATTGTAACTCACCGTTAACAGTTACCTTATTCTAATCAAAAGTTAACGATTGATCCGTTCTGAATGATTTTTAAATGAAAAATTTAATGCTTATTATTTTGCATGGTCATGCAATTTCCAACGTTGAAAAATATCCCCCAGGTTCAGTTCTGACCGTTTAAAATTGGCCCATATGTCATTTTCAACGGGCTTCAAATTAAATGCTACACCTGCGGCATCACCACTTCATTTTCCGAACTAAAGCTATTATAATAACAAATTTCATTGGACGACGAAGAAAGCAGGAAAGGAAATATAAAACATTTGACGGTGAAAAACTATATTTCTATAATAAACAAAGACAAATTACTGTAGGAAAAATCAGATAATAAGTCCGTGTTTTATACTGTCATAAAAATAAGTTGGTTTTCATTTTTTATAATGAAAAGGTAATGAAGCAAGTTATGAATTTCTTACATAAAAACAAATTTCTTCAAAAAAATATGTGAACGCATCAATTTGATGGATGACATTTAAATCAGAGACATTGTATTGCTTTTCTACTTTTGTGCACTCAACGATTAAAAACTTAACTATATTGTACGAATCTCTTAATAATACAGTTTAACAAAAATATCCTGCAAGTCTGTAAACAGTATTTGATTATCGTGTACAAATGGAAGTTATATATTATGTGTTTATTTGCATGCATACTTTTTACAACTCCTTATCTTTAATTAATGTCTGTTGGATCCCTGCAAGTTTTAAGTGCTGGTCTGAATGAACTGTCATAACGTACAAAGTAATTATTTCTCCTTGCATATTTACTCATATCAAAGTCAAACCAATTTTTCAAAAGTATGTTAAGAGCGGATTCATCAAATCTATGACACCCAGCTGGTTTTCGTCCGGTAAAATCGAATCTACATGCCCACTTTGCACCATTCGGAGCCAAACACGAATCTTCCATTGCGCATGCGGTGAAAACTTTCATGATATTTTCATGCACTTCCGGTGTATTATGAATAAAAATGGCGCGTATTTCAAAATGCAGTTCACGTGATAATTTTTCTATATTTGTAGGAATGAATTTGATCATGTCCGGGTGGGTGGCTGCAAACGTTGTATAGGCTGTACTCTGCCCAACTGCTAGAATACCGGTCTCGTGTGACTCGTGAATCAGTGGCGCAATCTCCTGGGTGGTTAAACGGTACCGTGGGTTGACCCATATCATATGACCAAACTCTGCGAGGGCTGTCTGTCAATACAAAAAGAAAATAATTAAGCTATATGGAGTTACGAAATTTTGGGCATGTCACACGAATGTGCTATTCTCATTGGTTGTAACTTGTATCTTGTATCCATACGAGCACGTAGGGCAGTTAAGAATACAACTTAATGCCAGATCTTATTATTCGATCTGAGTATCGGCTTGAACTGGCAAAAAAGCGTATCCTCTACAAGTAGGCGAAGCCCCTTTTATCAACCGTACTGAAGTATGCATATTGTGCTGAATAAACAGAAATTAAAGAAAGACTGTTAGTACGTTATCAACTTTAAAAAATAAATTGTCTTTTTATATTATTATTTTTTTTTTTATTTGTTGTTGTTGTTGTTGTTGTTACCCCAAGTACACAAATAAAATCATTCACTTGTACATGTACTGTTGTATACAGTAAGATAAGGAGAAAAAAGATATATTGCATATATAACTTGCATTTTAAGGTACGCCTAATGCAGAACTTCCAGTCATTAAGATGAGGAAACACAGAGCATGGGTTTAACCCTCACTTGGGAAAACTTCTTATTTGCAGATTTCTACACACCTCTTTTTTTTTGAAAAAAGCTTTACAACTAATTTAAATCTGGCTTGTAAACCTGCTTTATATCGTATAATAGCCAGCATTGTGTAAAGGTAACTATTATCACCATATAGCGATGCCTTATTGAAAAATGACCATTTCTGAATCCTATGGTGGCTGATTTGTACCATTCTTGTTTTCACCGCCATTCTAACTCGTTAATTCTTGATTTTTCTCTTGGTGGGTTCGCGGGGCGAAAACGCACTAATTCGGGGCGAAGTTTTTTTTATGTAACTTCGCCCCGCACCCCGCCGTTTTATGTCTTAAATCTCGCTCCACGCCCCCGCTAAAGTAGCGTGTTTTCATTCCGCGCCCCCGCCATCTTAACTTGTAAATTCTCGGCTGTTCGCGTGGCGGGGTCGCGGGGCGAAAACACGAATCATCCACCATAGAATCCATATGAACACAATATTTTCCTATTTCATATTTTATATATTTCATATTTCCGATACCGGTTATAATTAACATAATAGAAATGTGTCCATAGGACACAGATGTCCCCACATTCCACGGTTTTGTCAATCTATAGACGTACAGCAGAACAGTTTGACAGATGGACAGGTAAAGGAAATTCTACATGTTTCCCCCTACCCCTAAGTGGTTGGGGCATAAAATGACATCATTTTTTTCCAATGTTGATCATCTTGATGTTTCCCAATATTGGGATGAAAGAATTCCAAGTCTCAATTTCATATCTTAAAGTATGCTTAAAAGAAAATGATAACAAGCAAAACCCCAAGTTGCACAACTACACATGCTGACCATTATTCCTGTAAAGTTTCTTGACCTTATTACCTTTATTAGGCAATGCTTTATGCTAAATATAGAGGCAAAGTATTTATCCATTCCTATACCTTGGTCTACAAAAAAGCAAGTGACTCCCGGGGAGAGTCATAATCAATATAATTTATGTAGAAATCTACAAATTGATGCTCCAAGTCAAATACCCAAGTACTTGGCTTTTCAGTTTCATGCAATAACACTGAAATGTGTTTACCTATAGAAGTTTATATATAAGTTTATATAAATAAAAAAACCGGGACGGGCTAATATGGAACAAATTAAGGGGCATGATTTAAAAAAAAAATATTTATTTATTTTCATTATTATTACTTTATTAAATCTTATTTTTATTTCTCAGTGTTTGTTTTGTTGTATTTTGTGATCATACAGAATTTATATACGAATATCTAGGATATTCGTATATATTTTTCTATTATACTGCTTATTTAATGTTTGTTTATTTAAAATACTATAGCATAGTTCAGTGGTTCTAAAATTGGATTCCAATTAACAGATTTTTTTTGTATCTACATGTATAACAAAGAATATATATGAGAATTTGGTGAAACCAAATGGCAACAAAAATCCCTTTCTGAAACGAATGACTTTTTTCTTACATCTCTGAAAACAATGTCAGGTATTACTAAAATTTTCGAGTATAACTGAACTCGATTGGCTTTTCTGTAAGGGAAGAAAACAAATTCTGTATCGTATAAAAGGAATTATGATTAGTTTTATAATATACTGCAAAATAGCGAAAGTATAATTACTTATTTTGTTTAATTGTCTTTATGAACAGTTTAATGACTTTCATTATACTTTCCAATTCGAAAGAAAGATATTTTACGATGATATTTATATATATTTAAAGATATTAATCAAAAAGACCACCTGCATAACAAGGGGTTTCCAATGGAGATTGTCCAAGTCTTTAACATAGCTCGGAAAGATATCTTTCATAAAGAACCGCATCTTCACTCCACAATATGACATCAGCTGAAAAAGGAAACAAAATGTTACATTATCTTATAGTTGAAACTGAACACGTTTTCAATTATTTTGAGGACACTTCAAAAAGTTCTAGCCTGCGGGAAAAAATCATATGTTGTTTGAACGCATTTGTAGTAGCTTCAGCCGTCTGTTGTAGTTGTTGTGTATTCAAATTATGTTGGTAATTTTTTTAATTGTGTTAGTTAAAGATAATCTGTCAAATGGACGTTTAACAAAACACAGCGGAAGTTTTTATGACTTCATATAAAAGGAACGAACGTCTAGGAAATCTTTGATGACATGTCAAAAGAATTAAATGAGGATTCTCTTACATCTTTAAATGTAACTGTAAAGTTTTGTGTTGTTGATAAGTCAAAAGTAAAAGAAGGAGACAAAGATGAAAACCGACCAGTAAACGTGTAACAGATATTCATATTACAAACACCCATTACGACACACTGCACGTAATCTTTGTTTTATATTTTTACATATGTAATGTTTAAAGAAGAATATGTTCACCAAGAGAAAACTTTTGATGCGTCTTGTAACCTTCGAAAGCAATGAAACAACAATAATACATGAAAATAGCAGACTTGGTTTGATTGAGTCTGTTGATGAGAGAATGTGGAAAGGTGCAACATCTTTCACGTCCAGTAGCAGTTACTTGAACGGTTTTTTAATCTTTAGCAAAGATGCCTCAAGCCAAATCAGACATTAATGTCAAGCAGTCGAGTTAACCTTGATGCCATTAGCGCCTAAAATGCGCTAAAAGTAGTTAACATAATTTCATTTTTGAAAAATGATGGTCACTCCTTTTTCGCATTTTGAGAAACACCCTCCACCAATAACTTATTTTTTTCCCATTAACAATATCTGGAATAACAAGACATTAAAACAAAAATGAAATTCGAAACAGCAATTGTCATACATTTACCAGCAATTAATTATGTTGCCATGTGTCAAGAAGGAAATTATTAACTAGATACTCCCTATCATTTAGGATATTTGATATATCTCGTAGAATCCATATTTTACTTACATAACATAGCTTTAATGGAACATTTACGAATGATACTTCGTCATCTCATGGACACTTATTTTTACATAATCATGGTCAAGTGGTTGATATACTGTATTTAAATCTCTGGTCCTGCATCATTTTTGTGTTCCAAACCCACCAAAAATGTTAACGTATTTTATGTTTGGAAGCTATGTAAGTAACAGAAATGGCATCGACACACACTGCTATCTTATTTTACGAGGGTATAAATTAGATTGTCGAGTATTTTGATATTCTTTTTCTTTTTGGATGGTGCGGCGATTTGTCTTTACTCTTCCTTAGCTGTTATACGCCAAAAATATGCGTTATTTGTAATAACGCACAATGCGATATCTCCGATAACGCACACATTTTTAGAAAAAGTGTGCGTTATTTCAAATAAAGCAGTCATGCTAGTTCATTTGTTTCCTGTATAACCACCACTATTTTGCCTATGATAAAAAAGAGAAAGATAATAAAAAAAACACTCAGCAATCTGATTAATATTTGGGGTCTATGTCCTTCGTACAAATCAGATAGCCTCGTACTTCGATGCTCTTTCTATTACATATCATAGACAAAAGTAAAAACGTTCCCTGTCGTCACAATATGAAACCCCAGCAAAACAGTAACCAATGTACGAACATTTAAATATATTTTTGTATCGTTATCCCTTTCCCTGTCGTCACACGAAGTATACCCAAGGAAAAGAGTAGCCAAACAACGAGTATGCTCTATGTTCGGCCCCAGACTGTCAGTGTGGTAACTTGAGTGACACATTTCCAACAGCAAGATGTGATACAACATGTAATGTATCACAGTTTGGATACCTTTCTTTTGAAGATGTGTCAGGGGCAAATCGAGTATGCTCTATGTTCGGCCCCAGACGGTCAGTGTGGTGACTAGAGTGACACATTTCCAACAGAAAGATCTCAAAGCAAGCTATGATACAACATTTAATGTATCACAGTTTGGAGACCTTTCTTTTGAAGATGTGTCAGGGGCAAATCGTACGTGAGTTACTTTTTCTTTGGTGGTGGGGGTATATTGTGACGACAGGGGACGTGTTTTTATTTTTACCTTTGATACAAAAGAGAAAAAACATCAAAACACTCGGCAAGATAATATATGATCGGTCGTTCAACCTTGAGGCGTAGAACCATAATATTCCTATTGTTTGCCCATTCATAAAAAAATAATGAATTTGATCAGTTTCTATTTAACGATAAAGGAAATACATTTAAGATTATAAAGGTTGCTAACGGGATACATGAGAGTGATAACATGTACATTAAAATGATATCTCTGCTCTACCGCTGAGATTTTTTCATGAAATAATATAAGAATAATTCTGACAAAAGGGTAAAATTCACCAAGTCTTTCTTTCTTTTTTTTTTTCCTTTCTTTTTTTAGGATTCAAGGGTGTTTCTGTATTAATCACGCTAAGCTTTCAGGCGGTGAATTGTTTCTGAAACTTGCAAGTCTAACTGTTTAGTGATATATTAATGACTTCTAGTGTTTTAAGTACGTCAGAGTGTTTAGAAATCAATTTTCTAGTCAGTCGGGATTCTAGTCTGCTGGAATTATGGAATTAATAAGTAGCATATACATGTATATACATGTACACCTGCAAATATGTTAACCATACTCGTTTACGACAAGACCACAACGGAAATTTTGAATTTTATATGGGCAATGATACGAACTACCTGTACTTAACATACAACAACTGGAACAAGCCCTGCACCAAGAATGACACAATTTACCTCAAAATCGTATTAGACGCCTTAGAAGGTTTGAGGCTATCATCCGGGCACGTGGCGGTTACACATTTTATTTCAAATTTGGCTACATAATGTCATTTTAGCTTACGTAATCGTCAACAATTAACAAAAATATCCACAAGTTTTGTAAACGCTCCAACACCATACTTTTAAACACTTACATTTTTTGGTAAAAAAACAACACATTTGCTTATGCTTCAATAATTTGGTTAAGAATAAACTAAACTCATAAATTTACTGGTTTATGATTACTAAATTGGTATCGCTACTTATCAAATTACTATTTCTTAGCTCAATTAAGTCGTCATCTCATGACAGTGCTTTCAATCACAACCAATTTGAAATTTCTCGGGGTGTGCTTAACTTATTTCCAGGTGTATATTAAACAACCAATATCCACATACAGAAGAAGACACAAGAAAGCATCGAACAAACACGGGGCAGAAACTGCGGAAGACAAAAAAGGCTAATCGTGGTTTGGTTTCGGGAGTGGGGAACAAAAATCCAGAACTATCTCAAAAGATAACAATTGAATCCGTAAAGGTTTAATAAAATACGGAGGAGAGGTCATAACAGTTGTGTCACAGAAACAACCAAGAAACTTAAAACCCGACTTGTTTTTGTGTTCATTTCTATTAAACTTGCATGGTATCGATATATTTTGCATCTGAATTGTTTCAGAAACTGTGTATCATGGTAACCAATGATCGTTTCTTGTTAATTTCATCTCGAATAACCTTATAATGCTTAGAACATTATAATCTTGCTTTTAAGGCCTTTTTTATCGAGACTGCCAAGAAACGTACCTGCAGACAGTAACTAGCCAGTATATTTTTGTGTTTATTTTAATTAAAACATATGTGTCTAAAAGACCTATATTTGGAAATAAAAATGATTCTATTTTTAATGGTTCATATGTGTGCAGAAGGTAGAGTGGATAGACACCAGACTGGTTCTCTACTTTATATTTAGATTATTTGGCAGAAGTATTGGTTCAGAAAACTGTTTGTTCAGATATCTAGTGAATGTGTTGTATTCATTTCCTTTATGGTAACCTTATGTCTTGTACAATGTGATTAAGATATTTAACATTTTTTGTTAGGATGAAGGGCTGCTGGCACAATTAGAACATCGTGACAATTATTCATTATAATGCAGATTGAAAACAGTTATAGAGGCATCCGTAGCGATCATAGAATGAATTGTCAACCAGTTATAACCAAATCCGGAAAATTGTCCACAGACTTTCAGTATAAAACTGAAACCGTATGTAAAATAACAGAACAGCTGCAATGTGAAGACTCCTTGCAGAACAAAATAGATAAAACCAATATAACAGAAGTTAATAAAACAGTAAAAAGCTCTTATAGCAGGATTTACGATAGTGGTTCTTCACCGATGAAACTTTCAGATGAATAGATGTTTGCTGGACATATGCGTTTTACTTGATTTGTTTTTTAAAATAATTAAAGCATATTGCCTGGCAACCAAATTTGGACAAAGTCTTGTGTTTTGTCATCGAAGGAAGTGATTAACATAATATAAACCACAGAGATAATTATATTTAAAGAAAATGGAACAAAACTCATCGTTATTGAACAATTACAGTGACCGTAATAGTGATGTAAAAATTGGTTTGGTCGCTCTAGTCCCTCATTCGTGTCGAATTATTCTCATAACTTTTATGACAATAGTCTTTTTCACAGGATTGCCTGGGAATATCATCGTGCTTTTGGTTCAAATAAGAATAAGGCACAAAACGTCTACTGACTGGCTCGTTATATTCTTGGCAGTTTTCGATGTCATTTCTGTAACAGTTACCATACCGATATTTTTGACTGTGACAAGAGAGTGGTGGCCGGAGATAGGATCAACGTTTGGATGTAGGTTACATTATTTTGTTCTACATTTAACATTCACTGCATCGACGATATTGTTTACATATATTGCCTTAGATAGACTATGGAAGACAAAATCGGCACGTATACAGTTTTCTCCATCGAATGCATTAAATGGTGCGATTATTGCGCTCTGTCTGTCCATCGTGTTAGGGATAATGGCGGCATTCAGCGTTAAGGATAATATTCTTGGTCATTGTATTTACGACTCGTCGAAAAAGACGCTACAACAAGTTCTGTACACAATTATTTTAACAATTGTTGTTGTTTCTAGCTGCATTATGTTTTATTCATACATTCGGATTTTTATATTTCTAAAATATAGAATGAGAGTGCATCCAATTTTTCATATTTCTACGATATCTGATCAAGACGGAAGACATATTTCTGCTTCCTTTCAAGCAAATACGTATGGTAAAGCTGTAAAAACCACAAAGTTAATGTGTCTCGTCACGGCAGTTTTTATTGTTTCTGCAATTATCCCGGCATTTGCTGTTATCATTTTAATCGGTATGGACTCTAGAAACAACGTTAACGATAGGATAACAATCTTTTTCCTGACTAGATTATACCTGATTAACAATTGTACTAATCCATATTTCTATTTATGGCTTAATGAAGCATTCAGAAAGAGAACTCTCATTTTTCTTAAAAGTTTTCTTTTTATTTGTTAATGTATCATCTTTACTACATTGATTATTTCTTTGACATGCTTTAATTTATAGAGGATATTGAATGAGTGTAAGTTCAATACTGAATTTATTGCACGAGTTGAATAAAATTATATTATGCGAGCCTCTGGCGAGCATAATATTATTTTATTCAACGAGTGCAATATATCCAGTATTGAACTTACACGAATTTGATATTCTATTTATCACATACCCAAAATAAAGACCGTTTAAAGTGAAATAAGAGTCATTTTTCATTGACGCGCCTATAGTGTAACGCTAACATTTAGCGCGTCTTTACACTATGTTTGTATGACGCTAATGACGTCACGTCAAAATATATGCACGGCCGTGCAATACCATATTTACGGAGTCGCAAAATCGGCACGGGTGTGTGATAAAACTTGTTATTAAAACTCTTGTACATTTTATTAAACGTTTTAAATAGGACCATATGAGATAAGAATTCAAACACTAATATTACCCTAATTCGAAATATTTATAAACTTAGTCTGAAGTCAATGATAATCGAATGTGATTAAAAGAATACATACTTTTCTACACAGGATATGAAGTTATACTATTTATGATTGTTGAAAAATGTGTTCGTATTATGATTACAACAGAGATCATTCTCGACTTTTACAAAGTACACAGTCGCCATTACAAAAAGTTGTCATATTCGTAACGAGAAGCCTTCTCGATTACCTGAATTGATTAAAAAAATGTTTCCAAGTTTCCGTTCAAGAAATTGATACTTGCTCGGAATCATCGCTTTAGTTAAAAAAAAACGCGTATTCTTCTATTTAATTAGATATTTTTATGCATGCGAGTTAAATAAGAAAAGGCACGTTTTTATGAACACTCTTGAGAAAATTTATCACAAAAATGAGGGAAAACAGAAAGGTAATAAAGCCTTTTAAGATTTTTGTATTCGCTGGTTAAAGCTTTATACTTTTTTGAAAAAATTGTGTTGCTATACAAGATATGTTGTACGTTTAATGTAATTTTATGTAATTTACATATAATAATTACATGTATATGAAATCATAAAAATTAATATTAATCATATTTTTAACAATATTTTAGTTCCTTATTAGCTGATATAAAAAAGGGCTGAAGACAATGTATATGCATCATAAAAGAATAACAATAATGTAGTTTTTTCCTAAAACATTTTTCTGGAAATAAAAATTTAGTGTATAAAGAGTCCGACAAAAACAATATAATTCAGTATTTAATTGAGAATGTCTCAGTAGAATAATATCATGACGTTAAATTTCAAAATCTGATATGTATCAGATCTGATATATCAGCTCTGATATCTAAATTCTAATCAATCCGCGTTTGTAGGATTCAATGTAATTATTGTATTTATTAATATGAGCACTAATGTGCTTGCTTCATTACACTTGATTCCTTTATAACATACTTTAAAAAATAACAAATGACACAGCATAATGTCCTGATAATATATTTGTTTATTTTACATCTGGAAATGATGTTTTCCCTATAAAAGCTTTTTTGCGTGACATGGATTTGCGTCGTTATAAGTGGAGACACCTAATTAATTTTTTTTCATATACTGATGTACATAAAACTAAGAGATTTCTATCATACGACGAAGAAACATTCATTCAACAAAAAAGCTTGTTACTCTATATAAATAGCACATGTATTAATGTAAAACGCATTTTAAAAAAGGTTCAAAAGAAATAGCTAATATGCTGTTATTACTTATCAGAAAAACAATAAAGAAATGGTTATTTTGCATAAAAAAGTGTTACAATGTAATTGTGTAATTGTTCCACGGAAGTTCAAGATTTAAATGTTTTCTTAAAACTATGGCACTTTCTGCGCAAAAATGTTATATATATCAGAGTGATAATACGCTCTATAATGAAAAAAGAACAAATATATTTATATAAGATGTTCAGAAGGTGTTCTAGTTGCATTGTTTTAAAGGGTGCATGGCTCCGGAAGAAAATTAAACTGGAGAAAATAAGAATAAAATTTGTCATTTTAATACAGTTCCATTACATTAATTCATAAACAATTATAATTAATAATTATAATCATAATTAACGTTTTTAAGAAGTCAACACAAAATATTTGACACATGCACATTTCATTGAACCTCTATTATATATGGATATTTTTATGAAAATATTTATTTCTTACATTTTTCAATAATCTTAGTTATTTCGTGTAAATTATTTATTAAAAACTTTAAATAGAAGGATTATATCGCTATAAGACCTGATCACCATCTCAAATTTTGTCTCTTTCAATTGTTATGCAACATATCGTTAGTAATAATATTATCAAAACATTTAGAAGGTAAAATAATAAAAAGGTTTTGTTTAAGAAACTGCTAAAATTTAGGAAATGTTGAGTAAAGAAGCTTCTCGCAATCGTCTTTTGACTTTGCGGTGAACAGAGCGTCTAGCGTCTAAATAGCGCGGTTACAAAAGAACTTACAAAAATATACCTAAATATACCAATAAATATACACCTACAAAATTAATAATAATGATAATGCAATATCAAACAACAGAACAAAAATGATAAAGGAACACTGATATTTAGGTTAACTATAATCTATATGTTTGAATAATGAGTCCTTACCTTTCGCTTAGTATCTTTGTCAAGGTCTAGGTCATATACGTATATTTTCCTGCCTGGAAAAAATTCTTGAACAGAAGCAATGAGTTGTATAACTTCTTTTACAGTTGTCGCCCTTACAGCTGTAACAAAGGGAGGAAACTCATGGTCATCGTCTTGTTTTAGAGCATCGCGGCGAGCCTTTTCGTTCATAATTTGAATTTGATGTGGGTTCAGTTTATTTCCTGAAACGATAAGTCATTTGTAACTTTAATAGTATTATGTAAAGTCAGTATTAATAGGAGAGAAAAAATCTCATTTCGTTTTGCATTCATATATTACTTATGAACACTTAAGTCTTTTAAAGATATATTTAGCAACAAAACAAAAGCAACAAAATAATTCAGAATAACATGCTCTAACATCAGAATAAGCAGGAAAAACGATATGGCTTAAATCCAAAATAAAGATTACTGTAAATAATGATCTTCTGACCCCAATATAAGACTAGAAGTAAATGTTGTGCTCTATAAGACCAATCACCCTGTGAAGTATTAAGGGTCAGAGGTTAAGGGACAATGGGAGACGAATTTGAAACTGAAGCTGACGATGACCTTAAACATTTAACAACCGGCTAGAATATTTAACGCAATAAATCTCATGACTAAAGTAAGGAGAAGATTTTACATACCTATGTTTCTCACAGCATAATGAAACTCTTCTTTCTTCTGGAAAACTTGCTGTATTTCTGGAACGTGTACGTTTTCCATGTGATCAACGTTTTTGGCAATATCAGGTTGTACAACTTCTTGAACGTTGTCGTCTGCGCCAACGTCATTTTCCTTTTGTACTTCTTCAGCCGCCTCGTGTATAGCATCCTGTAGATACATTCATATATTTTACATACCTCCACATTTGGCAGAGGTCTCTTGATCTCAGATAGCCCTTTATTAAGATTAAGAAACCCCGCATGGAAATTTATCTAATGTCAATATCTACTTGTGTATATGAAAGGTTAAGAGGATATTTATTATAGATTTCACAGAGTGAACACTAGATGCAATAATATTTTCACGACTGTCGTAGCCACAAAAGAAAATATAACAGCTAGTTTTAAACAAGTGAAATATATTTTGATCTTACATGAGCTCTCCTTCATCAAATCATAACATCACCATTAGATATAGAAAAAAATCATCTATAACTTATTTATTCATTTTATGTGATGTTGTTGTTGTTTTTGTTTTTGTTGTTTTTGTTATTGTTATTGTTGTTATATTTTGAAAATGAATTGTGCAAATATTTTAAGTGTTGCTCGTTGTTGATGACATATCGACATTTTACTTATAACGAAGTGAATTTCTCACAAGTTTTTTTAATATCTGAGATGCATCCGCATTGAATTATAAACCGGCTACTATGAAGTTTATATTACATACATACATGTATTTAATTGTTGCTGAATTGCGTTATTTTGTTTTCTTTTGCTTGTTTCTTTTTTATTAAATTCATGTTGGCACATCGACCTTTAAAAAAACTTCTAACTACATCGACTGTATTTAAGGTATCAATTACATACTATGTGCTTTTATATTACCATGATTGTGAAATAGTTATCTTTATTTGGCCTTAAAGTATCATATTCGAGTATCTTATTTTATAATAAATAACTTAATAGCAAATGATGCATATATATATATGCGTAGCTATGGTAATCTGTTAAGAAATGTATATTTATAGATATTTCTGTTCACTTGACTTCTGAATTCTTATCATACATGTATACCTGCTAGAATTACAAGAGCTGTCGAAGGAGACTACACGTTCGACAAATTAAATACTGGACACAGTAAAGAAAGACGTAACTATGAAAAATTGTCAGTTATGATTAAAATTCATTTCTGTGTCAGTTATCAAGAAAGCATTCAAATGTTCAATATTTTTGCACCGTATGATAGGCATATGACTATGTCTATAAAAATTAAACAAACATTTCTATGTTGTAATGGAAAGGACATCAAATTGAGACCTGAAGCCAATCTCTTCAGTAACAAAAATGATAAGAACAAAAAGTATTTAAAGTTTTTTAAGTAAAATTATATGTACAAACGAATAACTCTTGAAATAAAGATGCTAATTTTATGCACCATGTCAGAAATGACAAAGAACAATTATCATAACCGTTTATAATAACAATAATGATACTTAAAAAATTATAACAATTTTCAAATAAATTCCAAGTTCAATGATAAAGTGGAATACAGAAGCTTAAAAGTTATGAATCTAATCACATGACAACAAACATATTTTTGAAGCCCTGGAGAAATGAAAAAGTTACATAAAAACAGGCAAATTGTTAGTTTAAGGGAAAGATAATTCTTTTAATATTGACGCTAGTTATATGAACCTTGTCATGTTTTTATGATATGGGACTGGATGTGAAACTTAAATATAAAGTTTCAAGTAAATCATTTAAAAAAGTAAAAAGAAATTTTTTTAGAAAAAAGTTCAAAAGAGGTAAGAATTCTGGAAATATTCATGCTAGAGTTATGAATCTGTTCACACATGATGTGTCTGATGATAAGAAACAAATACTTGAGGTTTGAAAAAGATTATTTAAAAAGTTATTTTTAAACAAAAATTCTAAGTTAAAGGGGGATAATTCTTGAAAAAATGTGTGCTAGAATTATGAATCTTGTCAAACATGTCATATGTTGATGATAAAGAATATATATTTGAAGTTTGAAAAAGATACCTCAAGAGATAAGGAAGGTGTAGTAAAATAATAAGATTTTTTAAGAAAAAAATTATGGAAAAAATCACGGGAAGATAATTCTGGAAAATTGGTGCTAGAGTTAAAAACCTTGTAACATATGTGGTTGATGATAAGGGACATATATATGAAGTTTATAACTGATCCCTTATGAAGTAAAAAAGTTAGAGAAAAATAAAAAAGACGACAAACACGTGAAAACATTTAACAGTGAATTCGAGATAAATCAATGACAACACGATATTGTGATGTTACAACAGTTACTAGCACATGTTCGTAAAATACAAAAATATCTGAGCTTTTTCTCGTCCCTAGTCCCAGTAAGCCTTGAAATGCTATAACATATATTTCTCAAAAAAAATATTTTTATGTATAGTTACAGTTTTGAAAAAAGTTACTCATTGACCATATATATGAGCCATCGTTAAGCAATTTACATTCTAGCAATCAGTACAGTTACATAATGACTTAGTATTGTGTTCAGACGTCAAAATACTGCTTAAGTGTTTTTTTTAATGCGCTTAAATTTTTTTAGGTCGCCGCCAAAAAGCCCATATGGGCGACCGTACACTCAAGTCGGGCCATCCTAAAGCGTCCGCCGAGATTTTTCGTCGATTTTTTCCAGCTTTAAAATAAGGTGGAGGAAGACCCAGGTGCCCTCCGGGCATTATTTCAGGCACGAGCGGGCACCTGGATAGAAACCACCGACCTTCCGTAAGCCAGCTGGATGGCTTCCTCACATGAAATATTTCGACCCGAGTGAGGATCGAACCTACAGCGGTGAGGGACCTGTGATCTCAAGTCAGCGACCTTAACCACTCGGCCACGGAGGCCCCTACTGCTTAAGTTACATTTTACTACCCTTATGATAAACAATATTCAGCGCTATTTTTTCAGGTGATAAACATATTATACCGGTATGATCGTAATCCATAAATACAAGATGATTAAACAAATGTTTGCCTGGTCTACAGAATAAAATAGAGGATCAATGTGCTTTTAAATGTTTTTATATGATGATTGCAAGATATGCTGAGAAGATTTTACTGTTTACTTCTCAAATTATTTTATTTTGTCAACAACAACAACAATCACTTTTATTAGAAGCCACGTCACAATAGTAACAATATGACTGATTAACATAAAATAAAGAGTGGGTAACATGATACGTAATACAAATTCTACTTTAAACTTTATTTTCATCACATGGGGACAGTTATTATATTGTCAAAACTGCTGAAATGTTGTTTATGTTTCCAAATATACATTGTCGTCGTCGTCGTCGTCGTTGTTGTTGTTGTTGTGTTTGTTTGTTTGTTTGTTTTCATTTTCGATTGACCGATCAAATATAAAACCGATGGCTTTACTGCAGTAAAAAGCTCACAAGAACACTATCAAAGTTTGTTTGTGTTTTCTTTTATATTAGTGGCATCTTTTAAATGTAATGTTCGTGTTTTCTATAAGAAGTAATTTGTTTAAAATGGTGTCACTTACCTTAAACGCTTCCGCTAAACGCTCCTCAATTTCTTTCTCAACTTCAAGTTCTTCTTTTTCCTTCTCTTCGTCTTCTTCTACGTCAAACATTTCATCATCATTTTCTTCTTCAAGAATGTCAGCATTTTTGTTGTCGTAAAATACATCTTTGTTATTGAATCCCTTAGTACCCTTGTCAACGACGTTGTTTAAATCATTTTCGCCGTTGTTTTGCCAATCTTGCTTTTCATTAATTTCACCTTGACCGTTTTTAACTTTGTCTAAAACATCTTTATAATCTTTGAACACATCATGTTTCTCATTTTCAACTTTGTTTACTTTTTCTTCTTGCTGGTGTTGGATCTCTTCAAACACTCGCTTTATTTCTTGTTTGACACGTCTATCTATTTCTCCTCTGACGATTTCATCATCATTTTCGTTGTCAAGCGGATCAAGTGCAGTTTGTTTATTTCGTTCTTTGTCCTGTCGGAAGTCTTTTTCGGCTTTAGAATTTGATTCCTGTACGGAGTAGAGTAATAATTAAACCTATGAAATAATACTTTGAATTTCTCATTTACGATTGGAAATTCACATGGATCCAATTACACGTAGAAGTTAGAAATCAGAAATGTACATACATGAAGGAAGTCATTTATTTTTATAAGTTCCTAATACATCTAGCAGTTGTTTGTTCATCACACAAATCTAACTTATAATCAAAATAGAAGAATATGCATTCTGAGAGTAAGTGTTATAATAATGTTTTAATTGCACTCTTAGCTCTAATAGGGAGAGCATCAGCAACGGGATCCTTGCGTCGACGGTTCGATTCTCGGGCGAGTTGAAAATTTCTCTACAACAAGTGATCTTTGATCTTGAGTCTTATGGTAATTTGTCAACATAGAAACAAATCTCATGTTTGATTGCTATTCATGTCATAAATAGCTTATATTTTTCTAAAGACAGGCGATTTTATCACTTTTTTTAGTAAATTTTAGTAAATGCCAACACGTATCTACGAAAGCCTAATAGTGTCAAATGAAATAAAAAATAAAAATACAAAGGCGTTATAACGCGAATAAAGGCGTTATTACGCGAATCAAAAGGCGTAATAACGCGAATAAAGGCGTTATAACGCGAATCAAAAAGGCGTAATTACGCAAATCAAAAGGCGTAATAACGCGAAAAAAAGGCGTAACAATGCAAATAAAGGCGTAGCAACGCGAATAAAGGCGTTATAACGCGAATCAAAAGGCGTAATAACGCGAATCAAAAGGCGTAATAACGCGAATAAAGGCGTAATAACGCGAATCAAAAGGCGTAATAACGCGAATAAAGGCGTTATAACGCGAAATGAAAGGCGTAATAACGCAAAACAAAAGGCGTAGTAACGCGAATAAAGGCGTTGTAACGCGAACCAAAAGGCGTACTAACGCCAATTAAAACGAATTATAATGCCAATTTAATACTATATTTATACTAATCAAATGGCCTGGTAACGTAAGAAAGCAAGACCAATATTGATCTGAATTTATTCCTCAAGATATAAACTCGTATAGAATAATATAATATATATTTACAATAACTAACATTCCATTTGCGCAGTTATAATGCAAACTATTTGTCATAAACTAATGAAGACTCTTTAATATTTGCCAATTTAAGGTGTCTGGGTGCCTTATAGGTCCATTGGACTGGACGTAAATACAGTTAATCTGAATTCTGTATCATATATTGCTTTTACACATGTCACTATAGTAAAATGAATTTCTTTTCTTTTCTTATCTTATCTTATCTTATATGTGCGTCATATGTTCAATTATCTTCGGATATATCCTATTTGATTACCTTATAACATCTAGTATCTTCTAATTATGTGAATGCCATTCCTAATTAAGCTATAGGTAATATGCTATAGGTAACAAGATTTGGGAAAACGTAAGGTATAAGTTAGTCACATTAGGGTGATTATTGATAAGTATGTTTAAATGGGGAATAGAGTTTCAGTCAAGTCACAATTATAGGAGACATTCCCTTCTTTGTCTATGTAGAAAAGTATCTATAGTTGGGTGAATCTTAACCTTTAATCTGACGAAAGCATTTCCTAATAAAAGATTTAAAAAATCAGACTGTGTCCTTAGGACGTATCCGTACAGAATTGAAAATAAAACGTACGTCTTGATCGATTTATTTATATATCAAATTGTTCTTCCTATCTTACATTACTAGGCCACGGTTTGGAATTTATATGGTATTAAATTAGCGTTATAACGCCTTTTGTTTTGCGTTATTATGCCTTTGGTTCGCGTTATTACGCCTTTTGATTCGCGTTATAACGCCTTTATTCACGTTATTACGCCTTTTGATTCGCGTTATAACGCCTTTATTCGCGTTAGTACGCCTTTTGATTCGCGTTATAACGCCATTATTCGCGTAATTACGCCTTTTGATTCGCGTTAAAACGCGAATAAAGGCGTTACTACGCCTTTTGATTCGCGTTATAACGCCTTTATTCGCGTTATTACGCCTTTTGATTCGCGTTATAACGCCTTTATTCGCGTAATTACGCCTTTTGTTTCGCGTTATAACGCGAATAAAGGCGTTACTACGCCTTTTGTTTCGCGTTATAACGCCTTAATTCGCGTTATTACGCCTTTTGATTCGCGTTATAACGCCTTTATTCGCATTATAACGCCTTTTGATTCGCGTTATAACGCGAATAAAGGCGTTACTACGCCTTTTGTTTCGCGTTATAACGCCTTTATTCGCGTTATTTACGCCTTTTGATTCGCGTTATAACGCCTTTATTCGCGTTAGTACGCCTTTTGATTCGCGTAATTACGCCTTTGGATTCGCGTTATAACGCGAAACAAAAGGCGTAATTACGCGAATCAAAAGGCGTAATAACGCGAATAAATGCGTTATAACGCGAATCAAAAGGCGTAATAACGCGAACCAAAAGGCGTAATAACGCGAATCAAAAGGCGTAATAACGCGAATAAATGCGTTATAACGCGAATCAAAAGGCGTAATAACGCGAACCAAAAGGCGTAATAACGCAAAACAAAAGGCGTTATAACGCTAATTTAATACCATATAAATTCCAAACAGTGGCCTATTAATTTATGGAAGGAAGAACAATGTTGATTTAAATGAATTGATCTAGATGTACGTTTTATTATATGCCCGAAATAATTTCGGACATATTATGTTATACCCACTGGCGTCCGTACATCCCAGCAAACATTTTGGGTTTAGGGGCTATATAACAGTAAAGAGAACAAAAGAGAACAATAGGTACAATCCGTGATCAAAGGGTTTATGGGCTAGTAGCCCTTAAGAGAACAAAGAAAATAACAAAGAAAATAGCCCCTAAACCCAAAATGTTGGAACGTGCGTCCGTCCGTCTGTATGTCTGTCTGTCCGTCCGTCCGTAAGCAATTTGGTTTCGGGAGCATAACTTAAGTTCCATTTGGCCCACAATATTCAAACTTCATAGGAGGATTGTTATTTGAAGGAGGTAATACTTTATAACCTATAAGTCACCAAGTCATCTTATATTGGCAAATATTAAAGAGTCTTTATTAGTTTATGACAAATAGTTTGCATAATTACTGTGCAAATGGAATGAAAGTTATTGTAAATGTATATTGTATTATTGTAAACGAGTTTATATCTTAAGCAATAAATTCAGATCAATATTGGTCTTCCTTTCTCGCGAATTTGATTAGTATAAATATGGTATTAAATTGGCATTATAATGTGTTTTAATTTGCGTTATTACGCCTTTTGGTTCGCGTTACTACGCCTTTATTCGCGTTACTACGCCTTTTGATTTGCGTTATTACGCCTTTATTCGCGTTATTACGCCCTTTGATTCGCGTTATTACGCCTTTATTCGCGTTATTACGCCCTTTTTATTCGCATTATAACGCCTTTATTCGCGTTACTACGCATTTTGATTCGCGTTATAACGTGAATAAAGGCGTTACTACGCCTTTTGATTCGCGTTATAACGCCTTTATTCGCGTTATTACGCCTTTTGAGTCGCGTTATAACGCCTTTTGATTCGCGTTGCTACGCCTTTATTCGCGTTATTACGCCTTTTGATTTGCGTTGCTACGCCTTTATTCGCGTTCTTACGCCTTTTGATTCGCGTAATAATGCCTTTATTCGCGTTATAACGCCTTTGCATTTTTATTTTTTATTTCATTTGACACTATTAGGCTTTCGTACGTATCAGACAAAAATGTGACTAGAATAAATCTTTAATAATTTTGAAGTGATGAAAATTATATACATAATTATTTCAATTTCTGACAAATAAAGCTCACTAACATGCCACAACAAAACGGTTGTTTTGTAACCGCATTATGCGTTTCAGGGATAAATTTAGTTAATTCATAAAATAAACCAAATGAAATATAAGTATAAAAAAGTTTTTCTTTACTTACCTTTTGATATACAGAATAAACAATATAAACTATTACTAGCAACACAACATATTTGACAGAATTTGACATTGTAAGTTTCCTCATTCTAGCTACGGGTAAAATATGCGATCCAAATTCCACAGTATCACCGTAATATCCACGTGTCCGTTTTCTCTGCATTATTTTGCTTTAATATTTGATTTTAATCTAAATTTGACCTGTCACGTGGTTTTATAAGGGAACATTTCTTCTCAACAAAGTTTTTGAGTGGATTGACTCGAGTTCGATTCTATGGATGTTTGATATATGCATATTATGTCGAGGATTTAACGTGGCATAATCAACTGATGTGACAGCTGTTGATAATTATAAATAAGCAGCTAATATTTCCCCCCTTCTATTTACCCTACCTTTACGGTCAATATATAGATAATACAATCTCGTATTTACACCAAAACAGAACATTAAGCATGCTTTAGGTTTGTTGAACAATTACACACGCAAATAATGCAGTACAATATTGAATGTTAAAAAAGTAGCAAATTTTTTTTTAAATTTTAATAAGAAATCAAAGAAAAAATGAGCAAATAAATTCTCCAATAATACTATATAACAAGAAAATTCATTCGCTTAGACATTTTAGTATCTAAAATTAAATAAAAAAAATCCTTGAAAGTTAAAGATATCCCCCCTTCCAAAAAATAAAATAAAATAAAGAAAGAAAAAACATAAATTTGATTGCCAATGTAAATATTATAGTCATACACTAATATTGTGCGTTACGATATTGAAGTATTTCTGAAATATCTGAAACTGAATATCTAATATTATTGTACGAGCGTATTCATTTTGTTTATTTTAAATTTTTCTCTTTTTTAATATTTTCCATTTTATCTTATAATTGCAAAGTGTAGCTAGCGTTTTTTCATTTATTTATTTATTTTTATTTATTTATTTATTTATTTATCTATTTATTTATTTATTTATCTACCTATCTATTTATCTATTATACATCTATTCTTTATTTATTTACTTTATTTTTTTTTTATCATTTTGGTGGGGGTGGTTGGGGGTATTAGTGTTTGCTGTTGTTGTTGTTTCTTTTTTAGGAGAAAAAGTGGGATCAAAAGAACATTTTTTCTGCCGATGGATATGATATTACATGTAGTACGAAAGAATTGTTATAACTGATAATATTTATGATTTAGGTGACAGATTTTTACGAATTTTATAATGTTTTGCTCATTCCCTGTAAATCTAAGGGTTCAAACAAACTTTTACCGTTATATACTAGTAGCTTCGCGGCGCAATACCGCCTACAATAGGGTTTTCAACGATATATAAATCAAATTATGTTTTTACCCGCGGATGAGTTTTCTTTTGGGGGGAGGACACATAAGTCGAGTTCCAGATAATATCAATAACTAGATTACTCTTAAAAAGTTGTAGACATCACATCTATGTATGATGAAATCACAAATTAACGATCTGTAAATAACTAAAGCATCATTCATACAAAAAGTACCAGAAATCTATTGAACGTGTAATTAAATATATAGGCAACAGCTGTGGACGGTTTTCTTAAATTGATTATACAGGAAGACCCTCTAATAATAAGTACACACATATGTTATTAGACAAAATTTATTAACACTTCTACTGAAAATTTGGTTATCTTTTCAAATTAACGTCTTTGATAGTCTGTATTAAGTAGACGTTTGAGTCTTTGCATCCACAACACTTGACTCAAACGTCTAGATGATAAAGACTAAAACTTTGATGTCGCGGGCAACACATTAAGCCAATACTATGGTGGCTGATTTGGTACAATTTGCGCGTTGCGTTGTCGATAGCGACAACACAACTTATATAGTCATCGCATTTTTGTCCTGTTGCTAACGAAACGCGTTGTCGTGCGGCGCGTTGTCGCGCTGTCTCCCTGTCGCTTGGCTTATACATATACAAATAGCCAATCCTTCGCAACAACACACCGCACGACAACACGCCATTTAGTGTGTTTCGTTAGCGACAGAACGTCAAGACGACAGTGCGACAACGTGCCGTTTTGATTTAAAAATATTTAAATAAAGATTACCATAGCTTATGGAAATTATTTGATAAATACAAATTATTAAATTATGGAAATGAACAAATGTTTGAATGTAACATTTCAAAACAAGATGCTGATAATCTATTTCCACACAAAAGTTTTATAAATAATATGCTTAACGCATTGTTTGAAATTAAATGTACATGTTTAACAAAAAAATCTCTTATAAAGATACTATTTGGAATAACTCGGATATAAAAATAGATTGTAAATTATATGAAAATTGGTTAAACAAAGGAAAACAATTCATAGAACACTTATATCATTATAAAACGGGAAAGTTTTATTAATTCGAAGAATTTAAATATTTGTATGACATCAATAAAACAGATTTCTCCTTATTGGAAATATACCTGACACTCTTAGCAACAAGCTAAAAAATACTTCAATAAAAAATGTTTCCCTGCAACACCTTTCATACAAATGTAATACAATCCAAATCTGTTAATAAACCTTTATATGATATGCAAATGGAAAATGTCAAGGAAAAAAAAGTAATGAAACTAAATGGGAAGAAAATATACAAAACCATATTGACTGGAAAACAGATATATCAACTGCCTTGAAAAAAAAACAAAGAAATTTCCAGTATAAATTCATACAACTAATACATTTCTTTTCAAATGCAAACTGTCTGACACAAATTTGTGCGATTTTTGTCATAATAGCATTGAAAATATTGGACCTTCTATTCTGAAAATGTACAAAAATACCAACTATTTTGTGAAAGCTACGCATGTGGCTAAGCTCAATTGGAATTATATTTAATCTTTCGAAAGAAATAAAATTCTTTGGAGAACTTAAAGTTAATCTGCATACTGTAATTTTAAAGAAATAGTGGCATTACATTTTATTATTTCTTTCTCTCAATATAATATTTTATGGGGGTCATTTTAACAGGTTGCTGCAATGGTACTTTTATTGAAATTAGCCCATTTTAGTCAGAATCGCGTCAGTTTTTACCTGATCATCATCCATTTCCCGCTTTCCTTCATCAAATTTAGATGAAATATATTCAGAGCCACTTGTGACCCAAGAAAGGAGTTACCAACAATAATTTATTAATATGAATAAGCCACGGCATCAAAGCGAACTCTTTGGAAGAAATTATAGATCTAATTCATTTCACTATTATGAACATATATAAAAAAACAATCGGCAGGTTCCAAGACTGGTCCCCTGCGCACTTCTAAAAAGTACCAATTATGTGTAGTCATCTATGTGGATGGGAACTATAACAGGTCAGGGAACCAGATAAGCGTGTTCCAATAAAATAGGACAGGGAACCCAAAATAACCTCCGATAAAGAGCAGGCAAACTTATTACCCATAATCATTTTGCTATACTTCTAGCGAAAGTTTTCAAAACCATCACTCGGAGGTACTCGCGTTGCAGTAATGCTCGCTTTGCGAGCAGGCTCTTCGGAACTCGCTGTAAAACAAGACAAAAATAAATCGGTTTATTTTTTCCTTTAATTTTATAATATGAAAGTAGGCAAAGCCTATGAAGGTGGGAAAGTCAGATAAAAAAAATCGTTAATTTTTTAGGTTACATTTTCTGTTAAAAAGTGTCATTCAGTATTTTATGCACTGCTTCCGTTAAATCTTGTTCCCTGTCCTATTATGGTTCCCATAGAAGTGTACAGGGGCCCAGTCTACGCACCCTTTTTCATTTTATTGTTACCTTGTTGATTGTCTCATTATCGTAATACCCCGCCGTTTATCGTTGCGTAACAGCGCCAAACAAGGGACAGCATCACCCGGTTTAACCGGTTCTTTTTTTAATTGTTATTTGAACATACACGTGGAGTCTATAGCCAGGCAAGCCAAAGCCGGGGCTTTTGACTTCCCTGTATAACATGTATAAAGCAAGACGGGATTTCATCATCATCAAGCGTCCTACACACACGTTCACTACACAGAATAAGTGTTTTATTTGGAGTGTCCGTTATATTAAACAATGATATCCACATGATGATATGTCTTCCTTATTCTATTAACATTAAGGTGTTAATTCTGATTTATATTTATCAGCCGCGACATGTTACAATGGATAAAGAGAAATATTTATAAACATTGACACTGGGAAAAAGCAATTAAAAGAATGAATGTGATTATTGTTTAATTACTTAAGTAAGCACTGAAAGTGTTTCCTGTTGCAAGGACAACATATCAAGAGTCGTTTGCATATAAATAGATAAAATTTGTCAACTCATAATATTCCTTTAAATTCACGTTCTTAAGGTACTTGAAATACGATTCAGCGAAAGTTTGTCAGGGGTTCCAGGTTACCCGAACAAGTTTATCAGCGCAGTTAATACTTAAAAAATGGGTGTGAACTGCGGAATAACGTCATCATTTTGTTTTCTTCTTTAGTGTAGTAATTGTCTTTGAATTGAAAAATTAACTATACTCTGAGTAATATGGGTTTTATCTCACTAAATAAAATCCCTGATTTTCACTTAAAAGCATACACTATAACAAGGAGTTGACAAAAACGAACCAAGCGTACTTGACCGTATTGAGTTGTACATCTTTCTACAAATAAGGAGATATTTGAATGCATATTGTCGTTTGAACATGCCACGAACGCTGTCAAATTTCTATCGATGACCATATTATAAGTAAGCAATAGACATGTAAATAATAAAGATATTACATCGATTTAAAAGCTTATTCTAGCAAATGTCTGAAAAATGATAGATCAGATTATTTTTCCTGAAAACTGCACAGCGCTGATTAGAAAAGCACGCGTCATATCATTAAGAAATATTGACGTCAACAGATGTTCTATGATTAGTCTTTCACAAATATGTCATGTCACGGCTCCAACATATTTAATTGCAAGCCGAATTCTGTGACCAAAAGATCTTAACTACATGTATATTTGACCCCTGTGACTATGACCCTTTGAACTAGTGATCAAAGATATTGCAGTTGCAAAGTACTCGGCAATCATTATTTTGAAGTATCTTTGTATGATATATTAACCAAGGCTCTTGGTCAAGATCTTGACTCAAACTTTTACTGACATCATGTGTAGACTAAGTGAGGTGCAAAAGATATAAAGTTGTGTTTAATAATCAATTTTACTTCAATCCAACCCTGTCCAAAAATGTTTGATAAAGTTGAAAGCAGTATACATGACAAAAGAACAAACAGTGCATAGCACACACACAAAATAAATGAATAAACAGTGGAGACCATAAAAGTAATAACAAAAAAATGAAAACACCAGGACATCAATGTAGACCGCAACGATACTCGGAGTCCCACTTTTAGTATTACCAATACAGCGAAAATAAGTGATGACAGCTTGTTAAACTGAGCCCGCCATTTCATAAAATCAAATAATTACCTCAATGCGTTCACCGGCGTTGCCAATAAATTCTCTTCTCCTCGCTGAGAAGGCACAAGGCAACAGCAGAAGATTTGAAGAACTCAAGATGGTGAAAAATAAACAAAAACAAGAACTTGTACCCGCGGATCAGCTGCCGATGATCTGACTAATACGGAGGGAAGTGGCCCAACAAAATAGGCTGGTACGACGAGGAAAGTGTATTAGGGTGTTGGAGCATCTAGCACAGGGAGTGACGCCTTGAAAGGCAGGTCCTTTGTTTGGCACCAACAGCCCTTTTAAGGGCTACGTCTTACTGTCTCAAGTTACTGTACATTTATGTTCTCACTCGCCGCCGTACAGTGTCCAACTTTTGGCTCAATGTTCATATCTTTGGCAATACTCCGTGGCATAGAGGTAAAGCAAGACCACTTTGTGTTTCAAAATTAACCCTTTAATGGCGTGACTGGTAACATGTCCAGGGTCCGTTCTCGACAGCAAAAGCTGCAATTTGTGCTGCACCCTCATTAAGCATAGATCTCATCATCATCATCATCAACATCATCGTGAAAGTATAATACATACACGATATAGAGCTGACTTAAACACAATTTGTAAAATTTATCTGTTATCAAAGTTCCACTGACCTTGAAAAGGATACGTATGATTTTATAGAACGGATATTCATCGCAATGCCCACAAAAAATTCGGTGGAGTAGGACTTTTAGTGAAATTCTGTGAAAGTGATATTTATAACATTGTCATCGTCGGAACTCACGTTAAACATGCCGTATATACAATATAGTCTATATTTAATAATATTTTACGATACTGGTGTACGGTATATAGCCTGGCTTACACCAAAGATAAAACATTCATTGTATGTTATACCAAATAAATCATACGATGGCGTTATTGCAGTGAAATTTACACATAAAGAAAACAGAAAATTACTTTATGGTATTCTCGTGCTACCTACCTCCAGAAAAGTCTACAGGAGGTCGTGATGCCCATCCTTCTTGCATGAAACATTGTATAAAAGCGCTCATTAGCTTTTGCTTACTTGGAACTTAAAGTTCTCAATATTTCTCCAGATATATTTCGGGCAATTATAAAAACAAGAAACACATTTTATTGTTTATTACATTGTTTTAATTATTACAATTATTTTCACCAAGCGATATCATAAAGATCTCCTATTATTCTTTAAATTTATTTGATATCATTTGTGCAAGTCTTAATACCGGCCAATAAATGCCGTGCCTTCAGCACTTTGATTTCTTCAAGTGATTTCACGAGTTAGAGTTAGGACTAGAGTTAATATATAAGACAATATCTATTTTAAAAAATAATAATAAAAAAACAACAAAAAACCATATTATGACTATACGATAAAAATGTAGCCAGGCAGTGGAAAGATACATATATTGATTGTATGCGTATGTATTGATTCCTCATTGCCCATTATAAGGTGTAAGGTAAAGTCGTTTGGTAAGCGTGCTCTGTGTACACGGCATCTGTTTCGTGTATGTGTATTTTTCTGTGTCATAGAGTGAAGCATTGTCTATCGCCACCCTTTCTTTAACTGAGATTAACATGTCTTCCACATGATCCGTAGTGTAATACTCTGTAAACACATCTATCAAAGCCTTAATGAAGTATGTATGAGCGGTGTCTGGGCGTGACCGATCTCTGTATGAAGCATATCCTACAAAAAATATATAACTGTCTTAGGCATTAGTCACTATGTATAGGACTATAGATTAGTGTACAATAGTAAGCACTGGTCAAGAACTACTCAGCCGATTTATAAAGATGAATAATAAAAGGCGATTTACTAAAATTAATGTCTTAATATTAATTCAAAATATTGAAGACTTATTGAACAAAAATTCTAAACAGGATGCTATGGTGGCTGATTCTGAACGCTTTTGTACGTCGGGTTGGCGCTAGCGACAACAGAACAAAGTTGTCGTGCTTTTTCTTGAAGTCCTGTCGCTAACGATGTACGCCAAACGGCGCGTTGTCGTGCGGTGTGTTGTCAAGATATCACATTGTCGCTCGGTTCAAATCGAAGGATTGTCTTATAACCAAAGCGACAGGGCAACATCGCGACAACGCGCCGCACGACAACGTGTTTCGCTAGAGACAAGAAAAGACGACAGCGCGACATAACGATATAGGTTGCGTTGTCGCTACGCGCAATTTTCCAAATCAGCCACCATTGGATGCTCACGGACACGTGGCACGATATGATAGGATTTATGTTTGCTGAACACGTGACGTGATAAGGTATAGGAACATGTGGCATGTTCAGGAAAATGTGTGCTTCCTGGACACCTAGTATGATAAGGTGGATACTACATGTTTTCTGACATAATTTGTATTTGTATAAAATGCTTCTTGATAGAAACGATAAATACATGTACATCACTGTTATTTTGAAATTGAGCTGACAACAATTTCGTTTATTTATGGAAAAGAGCTATAAACTAACCTTTGGTGCTTGAATAAGCTAATAATGTGTTAGCATCCGAGGGAATATAAATTATTTCATCTGCCATGTCAACATTGCGTTGCGGTACAATGTCGTCTGCATCATCAACTTCGTGTAATCCTTGCGCTTTCCCTCCACGACACGACTCTATAAAAAACAATTTGGGTCGTCCTGAAAAAAGGAAAACTTTGAGTAGAAAACCAACAATAATTAAATTACTCAGCCTACCGATGTTCTGATTCAAACATAAATATACATGTACTGTTCATGTACATTGTTCGAAACGTAGGTTTTATAATCGTCTTTACATTTAATTTCAGTTTTGAACACCTTTTTCAAACCGGCTATGTCATTTTAATTGCATTACACAATAATTTGTTGTTCAAAGCATGCGCTAAAGTTAAATCCGTCTTTACATCCAATCCCTGTTTTTGTATTGTACCACATGACCGTCCAATATTTATTGGTTATTAAATATGTTACTGTAAAATACGGGAATATATTTTGACTAGTACCATACTGAACAAGCCTTCAGGCTAATATGAGTACACGAGTCCAAATATATTCCGGTATTGTACTTGTTTAATGCTTAAACTTTAATAACCAATTTATTCGTTGATCCAACTTTTATTTCAACTTATATTTCATAATGTCATGGTTTAAAATTGTTAGACCCTTGCAAGCTTTCGGTAAAATTCATTACGATTCTTTTGTCGTTAACGCCTTTTTATCTTTGACGGTACATGGTAACATGGAAAAAACAAAACGCATTCGGTATTTTTATTCAATAAATGATTATTATTTAGGACGTTACAGCGTCCAATATGAGAATATATCACATTGGACAATTTAAAAGCAATAATTGAATGTTCATAATTAGTGTAGAATAAATTATTTTATTGAAGACTATTGTGTCAAATATATTATTCTTTATAGCATATTGGCTTTTTTTTCATGTAACGTTAAGTATGAAAACCGTTCACGACAAAAGTTTGCGGAAGATGTCTCTTTTCTTTAAAAATATATAAATATAGACGAACTCCGTGACAGTTATCACAAGAACTCCTTAACAAGTTATCATAAGAACTCCATCCTTCGTGTAACAGTTCCTCCCCCGTGCATATAACCCGTCAACAAAATTAATAACTAATAATATAAGTACTGGTACTGAATGAATAGCCGAATAAGTAGACCAAGAATAGAAGACAAGGGTAGAATAGAATAGAATAGAATAGAATAGAATAGAATAGAATAACTTTCCCATCAAGGGTCATGTTAAATGACATGTAAATCACAATAATAATAATGAGATCAAAGATCAAATAAAGACGTTAAAGAAACTAAAACTTGAGTTGTATTATAGTAACAACAATGAACTTAAAGAAAGAAACAAAACAAACAAACACAGTAAATGACATAGAGTTTCGAGCACAGGAATTAAACATCATACTTATATATATGTAAATAACATTTTGTTTTTATTCTTTCGAATAACATTTAATTTACACAAACAGATAGCGTATACCTGTTTTGTAACAACACTGTACATTACACATGTCCCTAAAAAGTACATATACCAAGTTAAATTAATTTATGTTTTTCTCATTATCATTTCTGAGTTTAAAACAAGTAAAAATTAAATCTACAAATTGTTTTATGATTTTTTCATCTTTGTTGCTCATTAACCAAATGAATTTGCTTATTTCTGACATTTGTTTCAAAGTTTAATTTCTTATCTTTTATTTCATTATATAAAATGCTGCGTTGACTAGTAAAAGCATTGCAAGCAGTAACAAAATGTACCTCGTCTTTAACTTCATTTGAGTGGCAAACTTCGCAAAATCTTTTACCAAAGACTTGATTTTTTTATATCTCCCGATCTCTATTTGAAATTTGTGAGAACTTATCCTTAACTTTGTAAAACAAGCTCTAATATTTTTATCTTTGATTACTGCTAAATAAGGTTCGCTACAAAATTTTTTTTAAACAGTGCATAAGTACGTAGTTTTCCATCATTATCTACCGCATTTTTCAATTTATCCATAAATCTAATTTTAAAAGTACTCAACGGTTGTTTTCGTACAACAACATATAGATTATTATCACTATATTGACTTTCAGGTATTTTAAATATTTTAGTATGAAGAATACATTGGATAACCAACTGTTTTTTTTTTTACAATTGTACAAATTTTCACTTAAAACACAAGCATTTTTTAAAAGTTCAATAATTGGAGATTTGGTCAACCTTGTATAATACTTAATACAACTGATTATGCAATCAAAATATAAAAGATATCTCCCCAATTCACCTAAAACAGCATCATTGCATGCTTTTTTTAATCCCTAACACATGTTTTATGAAATTTGTAAGAAGTTTTTCACATGGCATTACATTAAAGCATTGAGGTGGTCGTATTGATTATTTTCAGCTTCTACCTGCAGACTAGCAGACTAAGTATTAAAACATTCAAGAATGAAACACACTGTATCAGTATCATTTAGATGTTCTCACCCTCAACAACAGAAATAGTCTTTAAGTTCCTTACCGGAGAGTTTGTTTCTACGGAGGTTGTGCTCCTCAATTTTATCCTTGAATATTTTGCTTATTTCATTAACTTTAATTGCACCATCTGTAAACGACAGCCCATTCTGAAACAGATTATTCAAACTAATCAATGTCTTCAACTATATATATTTGTAAACTTATTGGAAACAGTTTGTTTAAATTTGTTTGGGGTTTTGTTTACAAATATTTGAATTTTAGGAAACTGTGTCTAAATGAAAATTCACAAAATTTAAAGGTTTGCAGCTCGTCCAGAGCTGTCTTTTACAAACGTTTAAAAGTCGTCCGGAACTGTCTTTATAATGGTTTGAAGCATGTTCAGAATCGTCTTTTATAATGGTTTGAAGCAAGTCCAGAATCGTCTTTTATATAATGGTTTGAAGCACGTTCAGAATCGTCTTTTATAATGGTTTGAAGCAAGTCCAGAATCGTCTTTTATAATGGTTTGAAGCAAGTCCAGAATCGTCTTTTATATAATGGTTTGAAGCACGTTCAAAATCGTCTTTTATAATGGTTTGAAGCAAGTCCAGAATCGTCTTTTATATAATGGTTTGGTTTGAAGCACGTTCAGAAATGATTTATAATAGTTTAAAGCACGCTCAAAACCGTAAGCAACTCGTTCTTTATTTGTCTATTACAAACATCTAAAGTTTTTCATTAACCACATAAGAGAAACAGATAAAGCAGCAATCAATTTTCACAAAAATCTGAGGGTCACCAGGAATGTTTTTTTAAATGTTTTTTTTTTAGCTTGACGGGAATTGCTATCATTAAAAAGATCTGGGGCTGCCAAAGTAAACAATGACTTTTGTGTTACCTCGTCTCCATGGGAAAGTATAGCGCAGATAAAAGGGAAATATTCATGTGTGGCACCAGAACGGATGTTATCCCGTGCGCTTTGCAATGCCCGAATAACGTCTGCCCTGGAGAGATCATTTGATATAGTGTCTACTCTATAACGAAGTATGTCTCCAAAGAAGTATTGTAAGTTGCTAACATCATCTCCAGTACCTACAGATAACACATTGTATTAGTCATACTTAAAAATGTCAAAATAAGGAAAGGATAACTTACATTTCTGATTTAATGTACATATATATAAGATTTATAACAAAAAATATGCTAAATAAATTAATCATTTGTTACGTCTTCACCATCTGTTTACATATAACTATCCGATGGAAACCAGTGTTTGGCCTTTGACTGACTGACTCTGACTGACTGACTGACTGACTGTGTCACGCCCGTTTAACTCACAACGAGTGTAAAATGTCCATCGGTAAAAATGTTGTGAGCAACTTCCGTTCCTCGTTGTGAGCACCCATCTATGACGTGTGACACGATAAACAAGGTGAGTTTTTCATAATTTTTGAAGATTACAGACATTTATGTAAAAATATCGGAATGCAGTTAGCTAGCGATATGTTTTCCGAGTATGCACATGTAAAGATATTGCCCGTTGGTGGACAATTTGATGGAAATACCGTGCGACGCAGTCACTCGGGGTAGCTGGAAAACTGGAGACAACTTCTCTCCGGACCAAATTTAACATTGAAAACGTCGATTCTGGTGAAGTTTTGTGCATTCTAACCTAAAACAGATGCCCACAAGTCTTCGGCGTAAATTATTACCTGAAAGTCTTCATAGAAACGAAGATATACCCTTTTTTGCTTTAATCCTCGTTGTGAGCTTCATAACCTCGTTGTGAGCAAAAAAAGCGCAGTGCTTGTCTGCTGGTTTTAATATGTAATCCAAATGGCGAGAATACAATTTTCAATCTACCAAAAGCAATCAAAACGTTTTTGCACAATAGTTTTTCTTTGCAATAGTTCTTCTTTTTCTACATAACTTGGCCAGTCTAACATGAATGCAGCTCAGGCTAAATACATGCATGTTTATATCACACAGACTGCCCTCGATGTTAACTCTACTCTGGCAACACGAAGTATATGCAATTAAAAACATAATTTACCTCCCCTTATTACCTCCCCTTATTAGTTCAACACCATTTGCACAAACAGCAAAACATTTGCAAAATCGTAGGTGTATGTATGTTTTTTTTTTGTTTACCATTATCTATTAAACTAAGATTATACTTGTGTAGTGTTAAAAGTTACAACACACTAAATAAGTAATCCTCCGCGAAAAACGATAGTCGCATAATAACAGATTCAAATAGTTCTCGGCGTCTGTTTGCTCTGTAGAGCGTTTTTCATGAGTTTAGTTGCACTGTCTTTCCTAGAAAGCTCATGACAGTCTGTGTTTGACATTTAAATAGCATTTTCATCATGAAATAGTTGCATTTTTAGAAATCTTCATGACTTCTTAGGTGTTACACCACTACTGGCACTAACTAGTACAATTTTGGGTTAGCTGATTTTACAGTGTTTTTGACTGGAAAGAATGATTTGCAAGAGACATGACCCCAACTTTTCTTTTGATTTTTATGCATCACTGACAGTTTTTCTAAGTGTTGTGCCTAAATATGAATTAAATTGATTTACTAATAAAGCCATTATGGCCAATCTTAAATGTTTTTGGACAATTTGACCTTCAAGGTAAAGGCCATTCAGGGGTCAAGGTAAAAAATTCAGGTCCGTAGGAAGGTCTTATGCTAAGGGATTTTGTGTTCAAATATGAATCAAATCCGTTTACTAATAAGGAAGTAATGGCCAATGTTAAAGTTTTCGGACGGATTGACGGACTGACAGCTCAAAACTAATATGCCAGCATTCGGGGTATGCACAACGTCTTGCAAAGAAATGCTGCTGTGCAAAAACGTTTTAATTGCTTTGGTAGATTGAAAATTATATTTTCAGCATCTGAATTACATATTAAAACCAGACACGCACTGCGCTTGTCTTGCTCACAACGAGGTTATGGTGCTCACAACGAGGATTAAAGCAAAAAAGGGTATATCTTGTGCATACTCGGAAAACAAATCGCTAGCTAACTGCATTCCGATATTTTACATAAATGTCTGTCATCTTCAAAAATTATGAAAAACTCACCTTGTTTATCGTGTCACACGTCATAGATGGGTGCTCACAACGAGGAACGGAATTTGCTCACAACATTTTTACCGATGGACATTTTACACTCGTTGTGAGTTAAACGGGCGTGTGTGTAACAAAAATTGAAATTACTATCTGCATTATCTGTCTATATATTACAGGTAGCGTAATTTAGACGGTGATATTATTCAAACTGCGATCTGTAAAAATGTTGACTGTTGGTTGACGTTGTTTTAGATTTCTTTTTAAATCTCAGAAATTACGGTTTATACCTAGCAAATGATAGAATTGACTTTTTATGCACAAAACATATCAGAAAATGTCAGAAATAATAAAATGATATCACCTAAGCGTCTGTGGGTATTATTGAGAATAAGTAAATATCCCCTCTTTCCCGCCGTGTCATAAAATCCCCTTCCTCTGGAATCGCGACCATATAAAGGATCTGATTGGTCGGTTTCTGGAAGATAAAGTTATAAGTATGTTAACAATTTTTTACACTCTCGGTGTCAACTTATAATGATTTTCATTACACGTGACTCAGATCCGAACATTTACGGAAATAAACGAAGGGCTTCCCGCCAAAATATAAATCTTATTTGACTAACCCGGTCAAATAAGAAAATGCATTTTTTAGAATGGTCAGAAATGTTAAGGCCTCAACAGACGGTAGGATTTTGAAGTACAACACCAATTAAAACTAAGATGTACAGACAAATCTTAATGTGTGAAGGCTACTATTTCTTGATTTCGGAAACCTTATGTCGAGATGTAAGGGATAGGACATGTTCTATTTTGAAAATCTTCAATGTCGTACCGATTTTTACAGACCTCCCACAATGACAAGTAACAGATAAGCAAATTATCTCCTGATAATGGATGTAATGAATGAAATTCCAGAACAATTAGGGCTAAAAGGTAAACATAGTAGTAAGATGGGGTAAAAATTTGATGTTGGAGACCCAAAGTTGTGTTGTGTTCGAATCCAAAATTATTCCGAAAATGATTATGTCACGGTATTGAGTTGTTCTCTAATAACATGAATTTGGGAGAGGGGAGGTAGTTTGTAGGCGGCCACATAGCTTAGTCAGAACAGCCGCAGTACGGTAATCCGAGGGTCCCAGGTTAGAGTCTCGGTCAGGCTTCACATTAACAAAAAATATATATATATTTTTTTTTTTAATGGAGGTGTTTCAATCATTACTCATGGCGAAAAAAAGTATTAAGTGAGTAAAGTATGTAAAGGATCAATGTAAAGTGATCCTTTTTTAGGGGAAACCTCAGAAGATTCTTACAGTATAGAATTACCGTCTGAATGCAAGTGTTGTATAGCTTTGAAAATTGTACATCTTATCTCTAATTAGTGCTGTACAGCTAAATCCTACCGTCTGTTGAGGCCTTTACGGAGAGCATTTCTACGTTGAAAAACTTTGTCAATACTAGTTAAATAATGCATTTGATAACAATAAGGCGTTAATTTGACAATCTGTTTTTGATGAATTTGACCAGGAATATAACTTTAAATTATTATACTCGATTGTCAACTTTATATTAAATTATGATATTCGAATATTCATATCATAAGATATTCGAACATTATCATTCGTCATTTTCAAAATCATTTTTCTACTTTTACACGCCGTGTGTTTGGTCATATGCCGGCGGTCAATAAACTTATTTAACCAACTAACCACGTGATATCTAAACAAATGATCATTAGATGGAGAAATGATGCCAAGGTCGAATATTCACTAAATGATTTCTATAGAAGTTTAAATAACGTTTTGCTTTACATTTCTTACACACGTAGATTAAAACATTGCTGGTGACTAATCAAGACAAGTTTCTTTTTAATTCACTAGCCACTGTTTAAAAGACATACAGTAAAATGCCACCTAACGACCACGCCACAAATAATCAGTCAACTGAACAGTAAAGTCTCTCTATAAAGACCACTTACGGGACTGACTCAAAGTGGTCTTAATAGTGAACTGGTCTTAATAGTGAATAAGTCACTTTAACAGCTGACGAAGTCCAACTTAACTTAATGTATACCTTGTATAGTTTTTCAACTTGTTATAATGTTTGAAAGCGAACAGCATGGATCCTGATCAGACTACGCGGATGCGCAGGCTGGTCAGGATCCATGCTGGTCGCAAACCCATTATGTTGGTTTTGTCATGGCGCGGCTCAAATATAGGTTGCATAAAACTTGGACTTCAGTGTTTACAATTTTTCAAAAATATGAGTCCAGATTTTTTATGAGTCTACTATACATGCATGTATAAAATATATAAAAAACACATACAGAATAAACTATACTTAAAAAAGTAAAGCCTA